GGTTAATCACATATTTTAACCCATCTTGAAAATCTTTCTAAAATACTTTGATAACCCTTTCAACGTAGTAATTACTAAATACCGAACAAGAAAACCATTCTTGCATTAAGGCTTTCTTAGAATTTCATAACATTTTTATCCTCCAAACCAATATGTGATACAGGAATTACATTTCCTTACATTTATAGAGCATTTCTATTTTACAAAACTCTCTCCCAAATCAATCTGCTTCAACTCCTTAGTATAAGCCAGTAAGTAGTCACCTTGCAAACTGTACTTTTTTTTGGTGCAGAACCGAGGAACTGAAGAATTCATAGGAGGGGGGAGCTGGGGTTCAATCACCAGCACCAAAAAAATAAGTAGGGGGAGGATACGCTCAAAACACATTATATACTTTCATTAAAGTGGCCTTATGTAATCTTGTATAATTAAAAATAGTTGTCTAGAGATCGCAGCGTGAGGGCTCCCCCGCCCTCCTGCTGGAACTCGGAGTTGCAGACAGTGCCCATCACTGCATCCCAGGAGGGAGCCAAAAGCCGCACGCTAGAGCCAGGCTGGGGACCTGCGGGCCAGGCGCGGGTCTGCAAGGCCCGAGGCCTCGGGATGCGGGGACCCACCCGCTCCCCCGCCGGAGACTGGCGTCTTTCTACCTCCACAGGGCCGAACCGCAGCTGCACAGCCAACACAGCAGCACCGCCACCTCCCGGACTGACATGGCGCCAGATGCACCTAGCCACAACGGTCCCGGCTGCGCCTCCAGGGCTCGCGCGTTCCCGGGACGAGGCCGGCCAGCGCGCGCGCAGGGCGCGAGACCCAGTGCAGGTGCGCGCCCCGGCTCCACCGGGTGGCCAGAAAGTTAGCCACGTAAGGACACTGAGCACGATTTTCAGACCCAAACAGCCATCTCTAAAATATTCGAGTTGACTGAATAAAGGTGAAACTTAAAAAAAAAAAGATTTATTTTTATTATGTGTCTGTGTGCATGTGCACGTAAGTGCAAGTGCCCGCGGAGGCCAGAGGAGGGCGTCAGACTTCCTGCAGCTGGAGTTAGAGGCGATTGTGAGCTGCCGGCATGGGTGCCAGGAACCGAACTTAGGTCCTCCGCAAGAGCAGCAAACACTTTTTTTTTTTTTTTTTTTTTTTCTGAGACAGCCTCTCATAGTATAACCTTGGCTGACCAGGAACTTGTTACGTAGACCAGGCTGGGCTGAAACTCACAGAGATCCTCCCGCCTCTACCTAGGACTAAAAGTCTGTGCCACCACACCTGGCCAAGGTGAAAGTTTTAAATGAGCATTCCCACCCATTCCCACTCCCCCATCACCCCCCCATCTCCCCATCTTCCCATCTCATGAGTGCTGAGATTACAGGCATGTGCTGCCCCCTCCACCATCCTAAATTAGCCCAAATATTTGTGTGGCTGCATGTGACCATTTCAATAGCAAATACCTGGCAGTATTCTCCAGGGAGCAGACACCGGATAGATGCTTTAAAAAGTGGACAGCCACAAATGGGACATCCATATCACACCTTCCCCCTGCAAGGTTCAGAGACCATTGAGGAAAAGGGGGCTTTAGAAATGATTGTTGTAAGAGTCAGAATTCGGGGAGGACCATCGAAAATCAGTGTCTTCTGGACAGGACAGAACAGGGCAGGACCGCTGCACTCGAACTCACAGCAGCTGTAGTTACCTGTGCAACACCTGCAAGAGATCAAGCCAGTCAACATCCTAACAGGGAGGGAGAAGGGGCTCATGAGTCCTCACCCTTAGCTGAGGCTCTATTGACAGCTGATGCCTTCTGAGGGAAGGAGAGTCAGTTTTCTTTGAGGGTGTGGCTCCTGGTAGGGTAGGTTGGCCACATTCCACCCTGAGTGTAAGGGCAACACAAACTGGAATGAAAGGACGGGGCTGGAGAGATGGCCCAGTGGTTAAGAGCACTGACTGCTCTTGCAGAGGACCCAGATTCTATTCCCAGCACCCACATGACGGCTATGAATCATCCTTAACTCCAGTTCCAGGGGAATCTGAAACTTTCTTCTAACCTCCAAGGCATTGCACAGCATGGGTGCACTCACATACATGCAGGCAATACACTCATATACATTAATAATAATAATAATAATAAAAGGAAAAGGACACAAAGTTGGGAGGGGTAGCGGGAATGAATCTGGGAGGAGTTAGGGGTGAGCATGATCAAAATACATTCTATGTATGTATGTCACGCTCAACGAATTAAAAATATATTTTAAAATAGAATAAAATCATTTTTTTCTTGTTTTTAAGGATGGTGGGGGAGGTGTCAGAAATGATGTGCTCCTGCCTTTGAACAATAAACATAGGACAGCGTTCTTGCTTTCAAAGGGTTGTAATCTTGTGATAAAATTGAGCTAAACAGCAGTTATCACACAGCATTATAATCTGTTTAACGTTGAGGGCAGCAATTGTATCTTCATTCTTTCTGTTGTCACTGGCAGCAGAAAACACAACTCAAGGTTGCTGGCAGTGCAGGTGCACCCTGTCCTTGATGTCAGCCACAGAAAAGAATTTCAGGACGATGCAGCGTGAAGCAAAGTTGGTGAGTTTATTGATTAAACAGAAAGACAAGATCCTTTCACAAAGGTGTGGGAGTTAGGAATGTATCCAGTAGCTACATGTGATTCCAAGCTATTTAATCTGCCACCAAGTTTAGTATTAGTATTAGTATTATGGGCTGGCATATTTTTCTTATCTGCTGAACTCTCTCTTTGAAGAGACTTTTTAAGAAGGTACATTGTGCACGTTTGCAGGTGGAAGAGGGAGTTCTAGTAGAGATAAAGAACCCATCAAAGAGACTCTCACTTTAACAAATGTTACAGAGGGTGGACTTAAGGCATAATTCATTAGTCACTTTTAACACTGTCATTTGTTCTCAGAAACAGGGGTACTGTTCTGCAAGTTGATCTGGTTAATTATGTTGAAATTCCCAAGTATTAGCTAAAAGGGCATCAAGAAGAAAAGATGGACAAAAGAATGAGTGCCAATTCAAGCATTTGTCTGCGGGGAAAACCTGCAGAGGGGAGCTCTCTGTAAGAATCAGAGCCCATCAATATGCTTACTAGTAATTATAAGGCAGAAAGGGGTGGGGGCAGGGAAGGAGGTTGAAAACTTTCCTTTTTTGGTCCAAGATTAGCTGTTGCTAGGAGTGACCAGTGAGTAGTCAATTAAAGAATCTTAGGTCATCAATAAACATGTCTTATGGCCAGCCATTATCAGGGTCTCCAGGGGAGGGAGTGTGGCAGGAATCTAGGAAAATAAATTACTTTAGTTCTGAAATGCTAATTGCTGTGGTGAGAAAATTGTCACCATTTTACCAAATTGGAGGAATTTTTCAAAATGGCATGGCTATGACTAACATCAGCCATTGAGGAACAGAATCAGACCGAGGAGAACCAAGAGGGGGGATTTTTTTTCATGTCCTCTCCGTTTCCCAACTAGTTATCTTGTCACCAGTGCCCAGCAGGTAGTATGTAAGAGGATCTCAGTGTTTACTGAGAACATATTGCATAGGAACAGTAAGTAGTGTTTTCTATGGCCACATCACCCTGAACACTCCTGATCTTAGAAGCTAGAGAATGTTCTGGTTAGTATTTGAATGGGAGAAATAGCAAATACTAAAATGAGCTCACAGGCCAGCTGAGAACATGATAGTGTACACAAATTGGGAAACAGCACATAAAATGTGATTCTATTCTGTTTTTGTTTGGGATCCTATGTATCAATTCCAGGGCCTTGCATATGCTAATAAACAATCATTCCTTCTACTACTGAGCTCATCCCCAGCCATTTGTTCCCAGTGTTTTCCAAAGCAATTTTATCAGGATTTGATATCATAGTTAATTTGGGTTGTAGTGAAAACACTAGATCAGAGATTGAGATGAGTCAGAGGTTAAGAGTACTTGCTGCTATTCCATAGGACCGGAGTTTAGTTCTCAGCAGCCACATCAGACATTCACAACCCCCTGTAACTCCAGCTCCGAAGGGTCCCATGCACTCTTCTGGCTTCCACCAGCATCCCCACACACGCAACATTCACTTGCGTACACACACACAAACACAAATAAAAATAAATCTTAAAAAGAACTTCAAAACAACAGTAGGTGTACTCTGGAATCCAGCCACAACTGAAAACAGTTAAGCGGAACATGCAATAAGGACATGGGTTCACTGAATCCGGAGAGGTACCATTTCAAATCTCATCAGAGCAAAGAGTCTCAAAGTCTGGGCGGGGGAATAGCTCAGTGGTAGAGTACTCGCCTCACCTGCACAAGATTCTGGGTTTGATGTCCAGTACTACAAGAAAAATAAAAGGGTGGGGTGGACAGGAGACAAATCCTACAAAATAGGGATTAGATTACCTAGCGATTGTGGGGATCAAAGAGCCCGTGTGCGTTACGGTATCTGCAAACACTATATGACGTAGGTAGCTTACTCATCTCTGACCCTCTGATAGTTCCGTGTAAAATGAGAAGGGTTAGAATTCTACTTGATCTCTAGATTTCCTGGTGTAATGTCCTTTTTGACTATTTTTGAGTTTGCACTTTTAGTCCCTTCAACTTTCAGTTCTAAAGGTATTCGGCCCCATTCCAACCTCTTCCTATTTTGAAATTCCCGTTTGTGTTTTGTAACCCTATTACATTCCTTAACAAAAACACGTCTTTAAACACAGAAAACAAAAAAGAAAGCTTGCAGAGACCGGAACCCGCAGACCCGGGACACCAGGGCGCCGCGCTAAAGCGGCCGTGCAGAACCTTGCACGCTGGGAGTTGTAGTCCGACGCCCCTCCGCGCCTCTCCAGTTTAAAAGTGCAAGGCAGAGCTGGTGGGCGGGGCGTAGAGGCGGAGCGCGCTGCTAGCCCCGCCCCCTCTCCTTCCGCTCTAGCGGGGTTGTCCTCGGAGCGGTGCGGCGGGACCGGGAAGGGGCGTGGCCTCGGCCGGGGGTGGTGGCCGTTGCGGCCGCCGGCGGGTGGTGCTGCCGCTCCGGCCTGCGCGAGGCGCGCCTGGTCCCTCCCTGAGCAGGCGGCGGAGCGCGGGGCGGGGCCTGGCGGGGAGGGTGGAGGCCCGTGGGGCAGGGGCGGGGCCGGCCTCTGGCTCCTTCTTCCTCCGCATGTGCCTGGCGGCGGCAGAGCAGTTGGGTTCGCGCTCTGCTCGCCCGCCGCGTCTCCTCAGGGCTCTTGGGGCTTCCCGGGAGCCATGTCGGTCTCCGAGAACAACCGGGCGGCGTCCTCCCTGCCCAACGGCGACTGCGGCCGCCCCAGGACGCAGCCCGGGGGGAACCGAGTGACGGTGGTGCTGGGTGCGCAGTGGGGCGACGAAGGCAAGGGGAAGGTGGTGGATCTGCTGGCGCAGGACGCCGACATCGTGTGCCGCTGCCAGGTGAGGCGGGGCGGGAGGCCGGCCCGAGGTGTCACCTTGCTGTGCGCCCCTCGGGCTGCGGGGAAATGGCGGGACCCCTGCCCGGGAGCCTCGGGGCCGCTCTAGGTGGCTCTATAAGAGCAGGGGGCGTCGGGGGATGCGCGTGGCCGGGAGGTGCAGGGGGTGTCGGGCAGGCGCCCAGCCGCAGCCCTCTGGCCAGGAGGAGTGGGGAAAGCTCCCGCCCAAGGCCTGCTCCCGACGGCGGGCTTGACCCAGTGCGGACCCGGGAGGCCTCCCCGCCTTCCCATCACCCCCCACCCTGCCAGCCAAGGGGTGAAATTATCCCGAAATCGCCTGAAATCCAGACTCCGCCGCCCCACCTGCAGGCCTCCTGCGGTCCACTTTGTTGACATCAGAATCTGCTGCGGGGCTTTGCTACTGTTTGGGGGGGGGGTCCCCTGATTGTTTTTCTTTTGCTCCGTACCCCATAGATAAGGGAAGATCTAGTGTCACCCATTGGTCCCCAGAGAAGGAATCCCCACTCTGTTTTGGAGTGAATGAGGCAGCTAGATTACAAGGGTTTCAAATCGGATATTTAGAAATAGTTACAATGTTACAATTAGAAAGTTCAGGTTCGGGAAATAGAGTAGTAAAGTACTTCCTACTGGGAGACACGTGGTTTTTTCAGTGATCGTTTCTTCCTATTTGTCGTTTGCTTTGAAGCAGCCTCTAGGCTAGGCCTTCGAAAAGGCTCTCACATAACTGTCTACCAATTTCAGAATTCGTTCAAGACAAGATGTAGTTTGTTTGAAGCTAACTGCGGCATGTTTAGGTTGTATGTCAGCTGTGTAGACCAGGCTCAATTCACTGAGATCCGCCTGCCTGTTTCCCAAGTACTAGGGTTGAAGGCATACACCACCACAGCCAGCAAAAATATTTCTTGTTCCTGGCTCCATGTGATGATGCCTTGCAGTAGGTGATCCAGGTTAGACGTGGGCCCAGTTGATGAGAAACTTTTTATCTAAACTTGAATCCCATGCAAAAACAAGGTACAGGTGTGTAAAAAGGCCTAAATACAAATATTCTGACCTGGGTTATCCTTCTTTCTTGTGTACAGAAACTTACCCTACCTATTCCTTAGCAGAGACAGCCATCACGTCCAAGTTACTTCCTTACCACCAAGTCTTCCTTTCAACTTGTTTAATCTACTCCTGCACCTGTCTGGTAACATACATATTTAACGGTGCTTTCAATGGTGTTGGCATTAAATTCCCGTCCCACATTGCCTTAGGTAACGCACAGAAGCCCAGCCTTTGCCTCCTTTTGGTCTTAAAATCAGATCTGGTATGCTGTAAGGGAAGACTTAGGAGAAAAGTGCCTAGACTTTTATTGGATAGGAGAAGATGAGGACTGTTTTTCTTCTCTGTTCTTCTTGACATCCTTTTAACTTGGAAGTAGTCTCCAGTCTCCAGTCCAGCTACCTTGTAGGTTCTAAGGATTCAGGGGATGTACCCATTGTAGAATTTATCTAAAAGATCCTCAGTTTAATATTTGAAAAATTTTAGAATCAGTTTGTAGACTGAAGGTATTCTTAAGTCATGTATCTGTCCTGTGCCCTTGGGAAACCCAGAGAAGTGACCTGGGAGAAACCATATTTGGCTAAGGTTAGTGGAGAAACAAGTGGTCAGATTTGTGAAAACAGACCTTGCATTGTACTGTTTTACTGACAACCTTGTAGAATCCTTCCTTTTTTTTTTTTTTTTTTTTTTTTTTTTTTTTAGATAGGGTCTCCCTGTAGCCCCAGCTGTCCTGGAACTCACTATGTAGACCAG